CCCCAAAACCCCAAAACCCCATAAATGACTTGTGAGCTTTTATGAAGATAACAAATTTATTAATATATTAATGTTGAATTTGAATAGAAAAGAATTTCAATAGGTATTATAAAAATAAAAAGAGAAATGAGTGATGAAGAAAAGCAAATAGACGATTATGAGGATAATTTAGAGTTTGCTCATATTGATGGATCTCCAGATAAACCTAAGATATCCAGGACTGCTCATATGAAAGCTCTGCAAATACTCATCAGTGACAAAAAAGAGAGAATAAAGAAAATCTTGTCTAAACCAGCTACCTCACGATCCCCAGAGGAATTGAATGAAGTTGCTAGTTTACTCTCAGTAATATACTTATTATTTCCTCTAATTATCTCTAGAATGTAGATTTCCTCAAACACTTCAAAGATAAGTTACTAGATCTTGCAAGATATATGACACTTGAAACATATCTAGGAAAGAAAACTATAGTTGAATAGGGTTCAGAGGGTGATAAGTTTTACTTTATTTTAGACGGGAAAGTCTCCATTTATATAAAATCTTTCAACGATATGACTGGAAATGAATTTTTTGTAACAATTTTATTCCAAATAATCCAAATTTAGAAACATGTAGTAGACTTGAATCCAGGTGCTTATTTTGGCGAGCTTTCTCTAATCTATAATGCTCCGAGGACTGCAACTGTTACATCTCTGGATAGATGCGATTTGGTAGTAATTTCTAGATTCGCTTATGAAAAAATCATAAGAGACTATCATATTGACCAGATGGACAAAATGATTACCTTCTACATGAATTTCCCATTATTTGAAGATATGAATAAAGAATTGGTCTTCACTATTGTAACAAGAAGCAGATATATTAAAGTAAGCACCAAGGAAACAGTAATTTCTTAAGGTGATACTCCAAGGATGGTATATTTTATAAAAAGCGGCAAACTTAAAGTGGTTAAAGAGATAAAGACATACAAGAATATAGGAAGAGGTAGAATCTTAGGCAGCCCAACTTCAATGTTTCAAAAGCAAAAAGATTCACCTGCATCTTTACCAAATATTAATGGCAAAAATAGAACTATGTTTGACAATTAAGATTAAAATTCAGCACTTGATACAGTCTAAGAGGAGACTGTCTATGAAGGAGTTCAAGAGTAGATCTAGTTTTTAGAATTAGATGAATTAGACTCTGGGGATGTATTCTGCCATAATAATGTCATTGATAAAAAGCCAATGGATCATTCAATAATATCTGTTCTTCCCTCAGAGCTCTATTCTTTACCTGCAAATGATTTCTTACTCTTGTGCAAGGATTTACTCTCGGATTTCCGCAGATATAATAAACCCTATCCCACTTCTACTCAAATCAAGCATATGTTTAATTAAGAAAAGAGATGGGCGTAGTATAAAGACTACCTAATCAAGCAAATATAAATAAACAAGAAGCTTGGAAAGGCTTCATTTGACTATATTCTTCGTTAAAATGATATTAAACTTCCTAAGCCAATTCAATTTATTCCAGAACCTAAGATTAAAGTTCAAGAGGGAAAGAGAAAAATCACTAAAGAAGATTTACATAAGAGATTCATGAAAAATTCAGATTCAGAAGAATCAGATGAGGGTGATCACGGCGATTAGAATGATAAATAGGAAAAAGAGAGCTCTAGAAAGAAGGGAAACGTGATCAAATCTCACGGAACTTCAACTCCAGCATCTAGTGAAGAGTAAAGAAGAATTATTAGAGATCCAACTGCCATCAGAGGAATCGACGCTTCTGAAGAAAATGATAGAAGGAAGTTTAAAATGATGGGACTTAGTGCCTAATCCTTGTTTATGGCTGATCAGAGAAAGAAAAAACTAGATAGTAAGATCAATGAATTCAATAAGCTGACTAAATAGATGAAGACTTAATACAATTCAACCTAATAGCTACAAAGAGTTAGCCAGTCTAACTTGCACAATTAAAATTAAACTATGAGGAAATCAATTAAAAACTCTTTCTCATAATCCAGCTTAGGATTTGCAGGTAGCAATAATAATGATAAAGGAAAACTTATGAATATTAAACAGAGAAATCCATTCCAAACTAAAGAGAGGAAGTCAGTAAGAGGCCTTGTAGTTTCATAAGCATTCCCAACACTTGACGAAATAAAGCATGTTGTAAATTCATTCAACTTTCTTTAAACGAACGAGAAGAAAGCACTAAACAATAACATGCAGAGTAGCCTATAATTTTCTCCAGCACTAATCGACTCCTACAATAAATATGCTCCAAGCTTAAAGAAACTTAAAATTAAAAAGGTTGAAAAATCGCCAAAGAAACTACCTAGACTTCAGCCTAATGAAGAATTATCAAGAAACCCCTCTATGTAATAACCTGCTGATTAAGATTGAATTATAATTCATGTTTAAGATTATCATTTGATTTCATCATTAATTTCTATTTAACTAGATAATCGACTCATGGGGTTTTGGGGTTTTGGGGTTTTGGGG